GATACCTCAATCAGAGTGGCAAAAGTGCTTCGACAATTGGTTCAAACGCATGCAAAAGTGTATAGATCTTCATAGGGAATATTTTGAAAAACAATAAAGTGAATTTCGATGATTAATATTTGTTTTTGTTCTCTTATCCCGACAAATAAAAGGCAACCCTTATCAACGACTTATTAGAGAAAACCAAGAATCCAATACATTGCTTTGCTGACAGCACACTTGTCTCGTCATTTCATTTGGTTTCCAGGACATCGGCTACAGAGGCACATCTTCACCGGCAGCAGGAGTTTGCATATCTCGATGTGGATCTAGGAGTGATTTTGAATTGGGGTAAAAGTAACCAGCTTCAATTCAATGCCACAAAAACCCAGGCATCGGTTTTCTCCAAGAAGATAAATGTCTCCGAACCGGATATAATAAAGTAAGGTAAAAATACCCGAAAAAAGGTCGATGAAAAACTATGTCTTTATAATAAAAGGTAAATAAAAAACTTAATGAGATAAACGATCGATTCTGGAAAAACAGGTAGTTGTTTTTTCAAAATAAATACATAACAATATTACTTCAAGGAACACAGGTAATTTTTTTATTAATTGAGATTGTGTGGCGTATTACTTTACCTTGTAATGAGAACGGTTTGAGATCGTGCAGGTTCAAAATAAAAGCCAAAACCGCGCATCCCACAACTACCAATGCATTTTTCGACACAGAGAGCAGAAATATAATTTTCCTTCCCAGGGGTTGTCTCTTCTGGTCTTTATCTTCCACCAGTGGGGATCCATAGTCCTTCAGTTTCTGAGACAAAAAACAATACTGATTAATACACTTGATCAAATCAAAATATGCTTCATTACCCAAGATCTGAACATCTTATTGGCAAAGTCTAGTTAAGGAAAACGTGTATATGGGACATTGAATTAACAAATATAAACAGTGACGGCTCGTGCATTGGGGAACAGGGGAGGCTTAAGTCATATAGACTAGAAAAGCCCGCCGGAGGCGCGAACATTTTTATGTTGTTGCACGCTTTGCTTAATACTAAAGTTAGGGCATGGGCATGACAATGCGTAAAAAACATTGTGTAATAT